TGACACTGCATAATTATTCAAAGTCATTAAAAAATGTGAAAATAACGGTATTACATGCCTAAATTCTTACAAGTCAGTGTAGGTAGTTCTAAGAGACAAGTTCACAGCACTATGTGCCTACATAATAACTTGGAGAAATCTAATAATAGTAACTTAATAACTCTCCTAAAAGCTCTAGAACAAAAGGGAGGAATCACCCACAAAGAAAATGCCCAGAAGTGAACTTGGGACTGATATCAATAAATAGAAAAATCAGCATCAAAGTATAACAAGTAAATGGAAAACAGAGTTGTTTCTTTGAGAAAATCAAATAAGATTGCAAACCCCCTATCCAAATTAAATAAGGCGTAGAGAGAATATCAAAAGGATGAAAACTAAAGATGAGAAGAGTGATATAATTACAGATATTGAAGAAATTCAAAGAATCATAAGGACAGACCTGTATTCCACCAAATTGGAAAATCTAAAGGGAACGGATAATCTTTTCTTGATACCCACAATTTATCAATGTTAAATCGGGACCAGATAAGTAATTTAAGCCGGCTTATCACTGGCAGTGAATTAGAAGCAGTCATTAAAAGTCACCAAACCAAAAACACCCAGGACCAGATGGTTTTACCCCAGAATTAAACCAGAGCTTCCAAGAAAAGTTAACGTCAATACTCCACAAATTATTCCAGTGATGATTTCCCTCTTTTTGAGTCAGAAAGAAGTCTAGTTAGACACTTGAGGTAGTTACTGAGTGAGTACCAATTATTACACTTTTATATGTTCTTATCAGGCTGTTAATTGCCCTGATCCATATATGCTCTGGTTGGATAGGCCTGTATATTTGCCTCTCTCCTTTGGGCATTTGTATAGTATCTTCTAACTATCAAAGCTAGACCACAGCAAATGGCTTTCAGGTTAGATTTGGCTCAAATCTTCTAAGTCCTGTGTCTATAGGTATGGTGTCCAACAATATGTACTCATTGTCAATCACCAAATGGAAAACCACCAACAAGGCTAATAAACTGCATTGCTGTATGAGGCCACTTGTTTGTTTCTTTATCGCCTGGCAGCTCAGCCCCAAAATAACCACACAGAAACCATGTTATTTGTAATACTGTTTAGCCAATAGCTTAAGCGTATTTCTAGCTAACTCATATCTTAAATTAACCCATCTCCATTAATCTGTGTTAGTAAGCCACGTGGCTATGGCTTACTGGATAAAGTTGATCCAGCATCTGTTTCTGGCAGGACTGCAAGAGCAATTTCTCTTGTAGTTCAGGTTTGCCTCACAATATGTCATTGAGAATTGCTTTGAGCATCTAAACCTGAATCTCCTGCCCAGGGCTAGGAAGATAATCTTGCTACTCCTTCCAGGCTGGGGCTTGACTAGTCGGTGAGAAAGAAAAATAAACAGGTAATGAGTGTCCTCCAAGCTCTCAGACTTCTGCTGGGAATCAATACATGCAGGTGGATCTGTGCAATATTTGAGTTCACTGACCAGCTGTAAAGGAGACGTAGTCACAGCACAGAAAGAAATGGCAAGAAGGAGGGTGAAAGTTTTCCTGCTTTGATGGGAGTTGACATTAACAATGAGTAGTGAAGTGGTCAATCTTAGATGATCAATAGGTATCATGACTGGACACAGAGCAGACAATCAAGAATATGGGTAAAGAACTGAACTTTGTGTAAAACCAAATTAGTTATAGTTACTCTACATTAACGAATGTAGAAGATCCAATAAAATGCTGTGGCTCTGTCTAACAGGATTGTTATTTTCCAGGTTTAAGATGTACTGCTTGAGAGAAAAGGCGTGAGTAGTGCTTGGTGCCCTCTAACACAAATCCCTGGTCTCTGGATCACATGGCCATAAAGTCTGTTAAAACTTTTTAGCATAATTTTTGGGAATATAATTGCATCATTTCCACAGTCTCTTTCCTGCCTCCACGCCCTTAAACCATTCATTCCAGGCCTGGTATTGACTGGTCTGTGGGAAGGAAAAAGAGACAGGGGAATGAGTGTGCCAATACAGCCCAGGATTTTACTGGGGAATGACAATGCCAAGGTGCTTGGATAAGAGTGGGAATTCATCGTCCACATATTACAAACCGGTATATACAGAAAAGGAGGAGTTTTTCAGTTTTGTCTGCAGTTGGGATTCCTAAAGGACAATGAGTAAATCAATGATAGGTAGTCTATAAATGTCCTGAATGATCATTATTTTTGTGCTCCACAGACCAGGTTCCTTGACTTGGAGATTGACCTGTCCCCATTGAAATGTTACATCTGTACTCAATCCAGAGACTGTATTCTCTTGACCAAGGGCCCCAGAATCATTTGCCAGTAGAGAACAGAGCTCCCGGAACACTTTGTCATCTTTGTCCTCTGACAAGGATGAAATTGGTAAGAGTCCCACTGACACTCCTGACTTTTAGTTAAAAATAGCAATTGGCTACTTGTCTTTTGGGGCATTTTTTACCCTAAACTTCCTAGTCAATGTCTAGCTCCAGTTCTTACCTCACCTCCCTCTGAAGCGGTAACCCTAACTACCATTATGGGATTCGGGTGATGACAGATCTGGCTTCTTCCAGGTGAATTTGGGGTATCAAATAGCCGTATTGGGATACCATTCCAGAGGGTCAGTTGTAAAGACCAAACTCTCAGATATAGACAAGAAAAGAATTACTCTACTGGTGTCTGGAAAGTTATAAAATGTCCATAAGACATTCCTGAAGGGCTCTAGTGGCCCCCATCTATTAGATTTATCCGTTTTGTCTCTAACCTTCATTTCCAGAGTGATGAATCCACAATCAGCTTTCACACCTTTTCATAGCTGTTCATTCAGCTAAAAGTCAGCATGGTACCTTTCCTATGATGCTTCTGAATAGGGAGACTAAACCGTTTGAAACTGTAAGCCATCCCCAATGGAAGATTTTTCCTTTCTAAGAGTTTTCATAGCTATGGAGTTTCTTCACAGCAAGGGCAACTCTAACAAAGAGAGATACTGCAAGGCAGCCACACAGAATGTCTCCACCCAGTATGCACAGTGGCTCTCCCACACCTGCATGTGTGGAGCTCAGCTTCTCTACTCTCCCCTGCCCATGTTCTCCAACACTGCATTACATTTCTCAGTGGAAAGAGGAGCTAAGCCTGCGGGCACTCAGGGTAAATTCCCACCTTTAAGATGACTTTCTCATAGGTGCAAATGAAGAATCCTGCTCCTCCCAAGTCTTTTCCAGGCTATGTACTCTAGCTCCTTCCCAAACCCACAAGGTCAACATGTCATTAGGGCTGAATTTCATACAGTTGCCTGGGAAAGAAGCTGTCTACTCAGAAGGAGAGGATACCTTCTATGTTGGAATATCAATAATCAGCAAACCTGGTGGTGGTCACATCCTCTGTGAACAGTCACAGCTGATCATGCCGGTTGTTTGTCTTAAGATAGTGCTGAGCAGAAATTAAATAAAAGAAAGATGACTAGAAACTGTGTATAATATAATGTAATAAATTAATATGACTTAGTACAATCTGTTAAACTAATTCTTACAGAAAACACAAGACAGTCTTCTTTTAATACATGGCATCACTAAGTTAACCATGCTTTTGGTTTTTAAGGGGTGTATGTAGGAGATACAAAGAAAAATAAAAACATAACAAAACATTATCAAATTGATGTTTATAGCGCCCAGTACAACACAAATAAGAAATTCTCTTAAAACTATGATGCTCCAGCATGGTGTAGAACTTTAAGACAATTCTGAAGCCATTTCTGACAACTCTCAGTACTTCCCCTCCTCCCCTGGGAACCAAGGACATGACAGTTATGCATGCACATACTGAGATGTTGGGAACTTTCCATCTCCCTGAATAGGGGCAAGATAACCCTTAGGTGTTGACTCAGTTACTGATGTTTTGACTCAGTCCCTGAATAGGGGCAAAGTGACCCTCAGAAGTTTCCCTTTACCTCATCTGATCTGGCAACCACTCTCCAGCCAATTATTGGTAATAGCCTTTTTGAATAAGCCAATAATAACAGTTAAAGAACAACCCCCAGACGCCTCTTCCTTCTGTGGTATTTCCCTTTAAAAATAGCCTGTACCAGACATTCAGGGTCTTCTAGCCTCCCAACTGCTGGAGGACCCTGTCATGACAGAATTAATAAAATCCTCATGCTTTTACAACAGCTGTGGTGAGAGAGATGGTCTCTTGGGGTGAGACTTCCCTTAGCTAAATTCTACTTTGTGTGGCTTACTATCTCCTAAGCGCTGGTAAATCCTTTATATCACATCTCCTAAGCGCTGGTAAATCCTTTATATCACCAGTTCTATTCTTTTACAGCACAGCTTGGTAGTGGGGTGCTACCCAGTATATAAGATGTCATTTACAATCTCCACAAAATTAACTCCAAATGCTTCTTAAACTTAAACGTCAAATGCAAAGTGCAGACCTCTAGACGGTGCTTGAGAAAGTAGGCGTTTCCGAGTTTGTCAACCTGCCCACACCTTGGGAGCTTTCCCTAAGGGCCTGATGTATTGAGAGTTCCTTCTCTAAAACCAGGAATACGCTTGGAAGAGCTGACAAAGGTCTGGGAACGGGATCTTTGTGGAGGGGTTGCTTCAGATCCTGAGAACTTTTTTTATATTTTATGTATTTCTGTATTTATTTATTTTTTGAACGTTACTTTTTCTACACATGTGTCTTTGGTAACAGTCCCAACACCATTGTAGACTTTATGTTCTTGAGATACCCTGTTTTCCTCTTGAGCAACATTTTCTAATTAGCCTCCTTATGAGAATATTCCTTTTAAAACTGAAACCATCGGTTTACATTAACAAGAGACTTGCTGTTTAATTGGGCATAAATCTCCAGCCAATCTGGGATAGGTCTGTGCTTCTGGTGGAAGCCAGGCCTGGGAACCACCATGCTGTTTCCCTTCAGCTCACTTGGTCTGTCTCCAAGGGAACTCAACCCGTCACTCAGGCCTCTCTAGCCAATCAATACTTCCAGAGGACTGGCCAATCCCGGTTCTTCCGGGAGCGGGGCTTCTAGCTCGGTTTCTATGCTGAGGAAGTAGCGAGTTGTGTTCTGTGACGTGATTCTGTTGCCTAGAGCGTGTAGCTGCACCATGGTGAGCCAGTGGCCTCTGTCCCCAGAGTGAGTGGAGTGGCCGGCTGAGCCGCGGGAGCCCGTGTGCTGGGTCCTCCCCTGCCCGGGTGGGAGCCAGAAGTCAGACAGAGTTCAGTGTGCTCCTGCCTGGTCAGCGCCACACCCTCAGCCGGGCAGAAGCCTCGGAATACCTTCACTCCTCTGGCTGAGTCCGTGCAGCGCATTGGAAGCGGGATTGCGCTTAGAAATATCCTTGTTTTTGACGTCGTTGTGAAATGCTTGTATTGTATTTCACTGCGAAAATGCTGGCGCCTGTAGTGCTTGTATTGTCTCAATGGAAGGCAGATTTGCCAAACGCAGAGAGCCCTGGCCTCTAATATGTTTCACAAGTTCTTCACTTTTAACATTAACATTTAGGTTTAGGACCCATCTGGAGTTAATTTAGTGGAGCTTGTAAATGGTATCTTCTGTGTAGAGGAGCATTCCCCTGCCAAGCTGTGATGTAGAAGAGTAGAATTGTTGCTAATAGATTTGATGCTATAAGGACTTAGCAATTCTTAGAAGACATTAAGTCACACAAAGTAGAATTTAGCTAAGGGAGGGCTACCTCCAAATACCCCAAAGACAAGTATATGCTAACTATGCGTGCCTGTCAGAGATTAGTATGTTAAAATGTAAATATTCACCAGGATTAACCAGCCAGCAAGCTACCTTTCCTTAAGAAAGGAGACAACCCTGCTTTACAGCCAACCACAAAGACCCATTCCTAAATCCCCTCACCATCACAGAACAGGCTCTTAACAAGCTGCTCAAGGGGCCATGACAGGGTCACCACCAACAATAAGTCCTTCTGTGAAGTAATTCTGAAACAGCTGCATCTCCAGTCTTTTTGAAAAATGGTTCTGAGTCAAGGTCTCTGGTGTTGACTGAGGTGAACTTGAACCCTGTCTGTAGTGCAACAGGGCATTGCTCTTGCTATCCTCCTGACTAACCACCCTAATTTCTTGGATTATAGGTCTGTAGCAACACGGAGTTCTGAAATGATCAGTTACAGTCACATGGGGGTTGTGCATTCCAGTAACAGGCAAAGGATTTGTGTGTCCTGCACGGCTTCTCCCGTCTGACCAGAAGAGGAGGAACAGTGTACCTCGTGCACTGCAGGGGAAACAGACCAGACTATAGCTAGATCTGAGCCTGAAGGCCAAGGCTGCAGGTGTTGGGCTCCACCATAAAGAGGGACCTGATTGGACAGTGTGAATGACTTTGTGTAATTTCCCAGCGTGTATTAATTCCTTCATGTGAATGAAGACAGACAGGATGGGTGGGTGTACAATTTAGGAAGGGAAGCTTGAGATTCTGAGTATTTCGTTTCCAATTAGGAAACTCTGCTATGCAGGTATGTGTATCCCGGTTGACACATCTAAGTCTGCTGAGAGGTTTGAGGAAAAGATCATTGGATGTAAATCTGTGTCCGTTCACAGAACTCAGCAGCTAACATTTTACACAGGACAGAGTCAAACATTATCTTATTAATGGCATTCTCTCTACCAAGGAATTTCATACTCTTTTCAAAGTCAGTATAACTAAGTGTCCTTCCAATTATTTTTTGTATAATTTTTAAAAATTTATTATTGGTATGATTTTTAAAATTTTATTTTATTTAAATGCATTACTGCTCTGAACTCTATTTGTTTCTGTTTTCCAATGTTCCCCAGTCATTAATAATTTCGTTCCATAATTTTCATGGGTGCTATTTATTTATTTGCATCAGTTTAGAGTAGTGGTACTCAACCTAATCTGTCAGGGTTCCCTTTAGCGGGATCAAAGGACTCTATCACAAGAATGGCCTAAAACCATCAGAATACACAGATATCTATATTACATTCATAACAGTAGCAAATTAGTTATCAAGTTAGCAGTGAAAATAACTTTATAGTTGGGGGTTCATCACAACATGAGGAACTGTGTTAAAGGGTTACAGCATTAGGAAGGTTGAGAACCACTGGTTTAGATCAGTGTCTCCTGTAGCTCAAGCTTACCTCACACTATGTAATTGAGAATTGATTTGGACATTTAATCCTGCCTCTGCTGCCCAGAGATGGGAAGACAGTCCTGCTACTCCCTCTGGGCTGGGATCGACAGGTCTGTGATCCCAGAAAAACAGACCAGTGAATGAGTGAAATCTAGTCTGCCTGGTTTTATTGGGAAAAGAATTGAGCTCACTGATCAACTACACAGCAGGTGTAGTCACAGCACAGAAAGGGATAGGCAAGAAGGAGGGTGAAAGCTTTCCTGCTTTGACAGTAGTTGACATTAGCTATGAGTAGTAAGGTAATCAATCAAGTTTAGATGATTGGTAAATTTACTGACTGGCCATTTGTCAGTTTCACCTTGTCAGATTGACCTGGCAATCAGGAATCTGAATAAAGAACTGAACTTTCCTGAAACCAAATCACTGTGGTTACACTAGTAGAACCAAAATAAAAGAACTGGGTAAAGGGTGTCTCCTTGCCTAACACGGCTGTTTTAAAGGGTTACGATGCACACCCTGAGAACAATGCCGTGAGTAGTACTTGGTGTGCTCTAATACAAATTTCTAGCCTCTGAAGCACGTGCCTATAAAGCCTCTTTCAACTTTTTAGCATATTTTTGGCATTATAATTCATCATTTATACCATTTCTTCCCTTTAAGCCCTCCCATAGGCACTTCATTGTTTTCTAATCCATGGCTTCTTTTTGTTTAACCAGAGTTACGGTTTGAATGTGACCTGTGTTTGGCTGCAGCACTTCCCAGCTGTGAAGCAAAGCGTTGGCTGCACTGGACATTGAGTTGTAATGGAATGTGCACACAAAGGACCCTGTGCCTTGGAAGAGGAACAGTAAGTGATATAGGAGAATGAAAAATTCTACTGAACTACAAATTTCCCAGACTGGGACCCTGTCTGACCCTTGGGTAGAAGGGCAGACCTGGGAAGGCGTAGCTGTCTGAATCATTTGATCTCTGCTCATCCAGTAGTGGAACTGCTACGGTCCTGAGGCCCAGCTGGGTGGCCCTAGCTAATCAGGGACTCTGGGAAGGCTTAGCAATCAGAAGCAATAGTGGGAGGTAGCTTACTGGTTCTTTCCAGGAACCCCCTCTGATCCTGTGTTAGGGAACTGTGAGGAAGACCACAGCTATGCCAGACCAGGAAGAACAGTTTGGCCGAGCTATCAGAGTCCAAACTGCTGGACTGGGGTGGACAGTGAGTCAGACTGTGGTTCTATTGCTCCCTGTGGTGACCTTGATAGTGCCCTCTGGGCCACATCCAGTGTGAATTCCTTGGGGATGGGCAGGCTCTGCTTGTAATATCATTGTCCAGTGTGTGCGCCCAGGCATTGCTTTTGTTGTGTAGTAGGAAGACACATTGGAAAACCGAAGACTTGTCTTCTAGAAGTTCTGAATGTTTTCATTCCACTTTAAGGTTTGTCTTATAAATGTTACAGATAGTTTAGAAAAGGGGGATGATTAGAGTAATTAGAGTATTTTACCATTCTGCTCCTGTCAGCCACCATGGTGTGAGTCTGTGAATTTCAGTTCCAAGGGGTAAATGGAGGTTCTGAGCTGCAGAGGTGTCTCAAGTTTGCGTGGCCTTGGACTGTTGCATAGGGCAGATGTCATGTCTTGTGCCATAATGATGTGGCAGGAAGCAGATGTTAAATTGTTCTCCTACATTGTTTTGTGATTGGGCGTCACTGGGACTGGGTTTCCCTGAAACCACAGGGAGGTTGAAGGGTTGCAGAGCCATAGGAGGATCTGCAGGAGATCACCTTTATTTGGAGAGAAAGCTCCCGAGCATGGGGCTGAAATATCAGTAACTGGAGCGTCAAAAACAGAACAGTTTATGGGTCACCTTGAATTAATTTTGTGGGAGTTGTGAAGTCTGTGATTATTTAATTTCTACTAATATAGAATCTTAGGCAGTTGGTTAACATTGGTCAGGGTCACAGTTTCCTGGCCTTTCCTTTGATCTTTTACTTAAAATTTGACTATATTTTCATGCATTTGTTCATGGATTTTTTTTATATTCCCCTTATTCTTTCACAAATATTATATACATTCTTGATTACTATAGCTTTTTTTGGTAAACATAGAAATCACACTGTGTGTCCTCTTTTTTTCATAATCCCATTGAGCATTCTAAGGGTTTCTATTTTTTATGTAGCTTTGGAATCAGCTTTCCTGATATAAATTGTTGGGCATTGTGTTTTGATTGTATTCAATTCATGGTGCAAATTTACCATATACAACTTCTTAATATTGATGTGTTATGTTATCAAGGATCATTTATTTACTTTATTTATTTAGGTTTTGTTGTTGTTGTTAATCTGTGAAAGACTTTAGTGTTTTGAATAAAAAGGACTATAATTCTTGGCTGGTGTCTTAGCATATATTCTTCTTGGGGGTGATCTGAGTTTAGATCCAAGCTCCCCAGTTGGGAGGCCCATAGCCATCTGCTAGTCCAGGTTTAGGGCATCTGATACCATCTTTTTGGGTTTGTCACTTGTATACTCATGGAAGATATTCTCTTGAACACACAAACATACACAAAAGGAATAGAGATAAACTGGGCCCTGCTGGTGCACACCTTTAATCCCAGTACTTTGGAATCAGAGGCAGGCAGAGATCTCTGTGAGTTTGAGGCCAGCCCAGTCTACAGAGTGAGTTCCAGGACAGGCTCCAAAGCTATACAGAGAAACCCTGCCTACGAAAACAAAAACAAAACAAAAACACACACACAAGAGTTAGATTTGTTTTCAAATGATCTCATGATTTATAAAGCAATCAGAGCAAAAAAAAAAGATTGCCCTCGTGGTATAATACATATCATACAGGGTATCCTTGAAAGTCTGTGCATTGGTGTGGAAAGTCTTCCTTTCCTCATTCTAGTGCAGTTTACCTCCAGTCATCAATCACAGGAACAGAAGTCTTCTACGTGATCCTAACTTTCGTGATCAAGGAGGTAGCTCTGCATAGCTAGTGTTACAAACGTTATATTTTATTATGCTGATGGTCATCACACAAGGTTTACCCTATAAATTCCTAACTACAGCCCTGAGCCTATCTTTTTAAGGCTGCTTGCCTGGGTGACATATCTTAGCTGAAGGGCAGGTCCAGTTTCTAACAGAAGTCTCCAATCCAAGGGTCAGGATCCTGGGGGAGTTCTCCAGCTGCTGGGCAGAACAAGGTGATATCTCTCTAGATGTGGAGGGCAGAGCATTGCTCTTATCATCTGCTTATATCCTGTCTGGTGGGTGTCACTCGGTTCTAGGACTGTGTCTGCTTATCTGGACTGAGTGATGTCACTGGGCTCTGGTTATCAGGTGCAGCATTGGGTGTAGTAGAGTTTATGAATAAACTATTTTTGCATTTCTAAAATGCTATTGCGTTACATTTCCTGGTCCTTGAAATACACAATAAATATTCCCATTACAAACTGACAAATCAAGGCAGGAAAAATAAATCTCAAGCACTAAAATACACAACTATTAAGCAGACTGATTGAACTAATATAAATCACAGGATATTGTTGTGATCCGTCTGGCAATATGATTGTTCCCAAGTTTATATTGTCTCCAGGTTTGGTATACACCAAGTTGAAAACACATTCATTAATAAAAAGGAAATGCAATCATTTTCAAAGAAAAATATTACACAGGTGGGATATTAGGGTTTGAGCTGTAGGACTCGGAGCTAAGCAAATCATAGTAGAACATCATCTTAACTCTTTAGTGTCAAGCAGGAACATGTGGCTCTTGGCTGTGGGCCAGGTATTTGTTCTTTTATTAAGGAAAGGAACAACTAGGAATCCAGTAAACTTCATAATTAGCTTACAATGTTGTTTTCTCAATTTTTTCTATGTTGATTATTAGGAGAAAGCAAATGATGATTACAGAGCATCAGGAAGTCTAGTGAGTTTCCATAGATATCAATCTTTGGTCTGTTGATGTGGGATTCCACTCTGTATGCTATGAGTGTGTTTCGTTACCATTGATTATTAAAGAAGCTGTTTAGGCCAATAGCTTAGTAGAGTGAATCTAGGTGAGAAATCTGAACAGATACATAGAGAGAAAGTAGATGAAGTCAAGGAGGCGCCATGTAGCTGCCAAAGGGGAGAGACGCCTGCCAAAACCTTAAGGGTAACCACAGCCTCGTGGTGACACACAGATGAATAGAAATGGGTTAGTTTAAGATGGAAGAGTTAGCTAAAAATATACATAAGGTGTTGGCTAAACAGTGTTGTAATTAATATAGTTTCTGCATGATTATTTACTCAGCCAGGAATGAATGAGCAGCCTCCTGCTATAATACATGACCAATGTTTATCCATTCCCTCTTTTGGCAAAATGACGCTGGTATAATAAGGCAGAGCCAAGAATCTGGAATACAATACCCTCAGCCTAGGTTGTCAGCATGGACATGAAGCATTCCCTAAAGAAGTTTCTTTAATCACAGTTTTCACAGACGTGGCTGCCAGAATCATTCATAGCTGCTTTGTAAATTCTGGGGTGATAGTAGATTCTGGACCTCGTTATCATAGTTCCTCTATAAATGAAGTTTATTAATGAGCTCAAAATAATGAGGAGTTTATATTCCAGAGGGGCCAATATGAAGTATGCAAAAAGCCAAAGACTCCGCTTCATTCAGTGAAATATTATCTATGTGGGGGAACAAGTACGGTCAAATCTAAATATCCTATTAGTCGCAGCAAATAAGGAACATTTTTTTTTTTTATTTTTTACATCCTTCCTACTTCGCTTCAACAGGATTCCTGGAGCTTGGCCCAGTAGTTGGCTGTGGATCTCTGCATCTGTTTCCATCAGTTACTGGATGAAGACTCTCTGATGACAGTTAGAGTAGTCCCCTTTTCTAAATACAGAAGATGCTAGTTCAGCCACCCTTTTCACTAGTGCTAGGAGTATAAAGAGCAGTTTTTAAGCTTGCTTACTGTATGGGTATAGACAATAGTGTCTTCTTTGAGTACAGATGACAAATGTTGGACTTTGTCTGTCTGTCCTGCCAGGTTCTCAAGATTCCTAGCAATCTCATAATCTATTGACTAAATGTGGCATGTTAAAGGAAAGAACAGTGGAAATTTCATTAATGGCTTTCTTAGCTTTTCCTAGCAAGTCATCTTCGAGTTTATTATTATGTTGGGTACCTGAGTCAAAATCATTCCTCTGTTCTGGCGTGAGATTGGTGATCTTGGACATACTTACCTATCCTGAGAAATGAGCTGTAACTCTACCAGCATTGAATATAGTTAGAGAAACAAATTCTGTGGAATAAAAAGTAGAGTCCAGGGTATCACTGGTGATGTTATAGATGTCACCTGTGAGGGTGAAGGTCTTCATGGACCATACAGTAGACTCCATTGCCAAGGTCTGTGAGTTGGTTTGCAAATACTTTAAGGGCCATTTCTGACATTTGGAACTCACTGGTCAGAGGGTGGGTGGCCACAAAGATATTGGCCCCAAGTGAGATGGTGTGTTCCTTCTGTATTAGTCCAACTAGTCCATAGGAAAGAATGAATGGGTACAACAAACCCACCTATGTTTCCTAGGCAATGGGTGTGTGTGCTAAGCTGGTACTGCATTGTTTGTTTAGACTAAGAGTAAATGTATTTTGCAGAATCCATGTTCACATGCTCACACCATGAGGTTTGCCTTGGGTCCAGGAGAGACATATAGATTGCTGTGGTGGTGCACGCCTTTAATCCCAGCAGTCAGGAGGCAGAGGCAGGAGGATCTCTGTGAGTTTGAGGTCAGCCTAGTCTACAGAGATAGTTTCAGGACAGGCTCCAAGCTACAGAGAAACCCTGTAAAAAAAAAAAAAAAACCC